GGGCCAGAGGTCAGGCTCTGACTCTGGAGGGGGGGGTCACAGCCCAGCAATGCTGAACCCAAGTCCCGTGACAACCCTTCCCTGGCTGCTGGAATGACAAACCCAGGCTAGAAACACCGGAGGCGCCGCCAGACCCCCGTCCCCTGCCAGGGGCTTCCCACCGACACCCCCGAGCGCGGGGGTCGAGCGGCCGCACCACCGGCGGCTCCCGGGGGAGCGCGGGCGGAGGCGGGGAGGACCCCGCGGCCACTCGCAGCCCCCGCCGGGCGGCTCCGCAGTTCCGGCCGCGGGGAGGGCGGTTGGCGGCGGGGTCGGCCGGGCCCGGCCGGGGGTTGCCCGGAGGATCCCGCGGCGCGGCCGTCGCTCGCCCCGCTCCAATTGACTTCCCATTGTGGAGCTTCGCAACAAAGGGTAGGATCCAAACCCTGCCCCGTTTCGGCCAATCAGCGCGCAGAGCGACCGCCCGCCGCCGATTGGCTCCTTCCCCCCTCGCAACACCCAATCGGGCGCCTACTTTAACAACCAATCAGCGCCCAGCGGCGCGCCCAATCAGAGCGGGGGAACCGGAGCACGGCCTTTGTGTGAGGTGACGCAGCGGCGCCGGCGGGGGTCCCGGCCAATGGCGCGGCGCGTTGCTCCCGGGCATTGTGACGCCACCACGCCACGCGCGCGCCCCCCATATAAAATCTGCGTCCCCGCGGCGGGGAGGGCGCAGTGAGCGTCGCGGCGGCTGCGGAGCGGGTCGAGCCCACCGGCATCAGCGGCTTCGGCGCGCAGCGCTACCGGACAGCGGCCCTTCCTTCTCCTCCGAGCGGTGAGTGCCGGGCGGCGGGCGCGTCCCCGAGGCAGGCGGTAGTGCTGCGAGGCTTCCGCGGCCTTCGTTCCTTTCGGAGCGGGGCCGGCGGAGCGGGCCTTGCCTACGTGCCCTGAGTCACGGCCGGTTCCCATCCCCCCACCCGCTCCCCTCTACCCCCCTTTCCTCTCCCGGGGCGGCCCCGAGAGGAAGGAGGAGGCGGCTGTGACTCAGTCGCGCTTCCCCCCGGGGAGGGGAGCGGCCGGGCCGCGAGGCGGGGGCGGTGGGGTAACCGTGACTCCTCCTCCCCGTCCCCGGGGGAGGCCGCTGGCCGCCTGCCCGCCGCGAGGGAAGGGGGGCAGCTCGCCGGCATCTGGAGCTTGAGGGGATTGGCCGCTGTGTCGCCGGGCCTTGAGGCGGGGGGGTGGATGGGGGCAGCCGGGCCCCGTGTCACGCGTTACGTGTCTGCCGTAGGTAAGTGAGGAAAAATGGCCCGTACAAAGCAGACCGCCCGCAAGTCCACCGGGGGGAAGGCGCCGCGCAAGCAGCTGGCCACGAAGGCGGCCCGGAAAAGCGCCCCCTCTACTGGCGGCGTCAAGAAGCCTCACCGCTACAGGTAAGGCCCGCGGCTCGGCCTCAGCTGCCGCAGCCCCGGCCCCGCCTCACCCACCCCCCCTCCTTCTCCACCCAGGCCGGGGACCGTCGCGCTCCGTGAGATTCGTCGCTACCAGAAATCCACGGAGCTGCTGATCCGCAAGCTGCCCTTCCAGCGGCTGGTCAGGGAAATCGCCCAGGATTTTAAAACGGACTTGAGGTTCCAGAGTGCAGCCATCGGTGCGCTGCAGGTACTGCTGAGGGCCGGCCGGGCCGCGGCGCTGGGGGAGCTGCGCTGAGGGGTTCTAACGACATTTCTTCTTGTGCTCTTGAAACAGGAGGCCAGCGAGGCATATCTGGTGGGTCTGTTTGAAGACACAAACCTGTGTGCCATCCATGCCAAGAGAGTCACCATCATGCCCAAAGATATCCAGTTGGCTCGCAGGATACGGGGAGAGAGGGCTTAAGTGAAGGCTGTTTTTATGGTGTTTTGTAGTTAATTCTGTAAAATACTTTGGTTTTAATTTGTGACTTTTTTTGTAAGAAATTGTTTATAATATGTTGCATTTGTACTTAAGTCATTCCATCTTTCACTCAGGATGAATGCTAAAAGTGACTGTTCACATAAACCTCAGTGATGTTGAGCCTCGGGCTCGGGAGTGACAAGTTGCTAATATGCAGAAGGGATGGGTGTTCTTTCTTGCTTCTCATGCATGTTTCTGTATGTTAATGACTTGTTGGGTAGCTAAACTTGTAAGGTACTAGAATTGATATAAATGTGTACAGGGTCCTTTTGCAATAAAACTGGTTATGACTTGATCCAAGTGTTTAACAATTGGGGCTGTTAGTCTGACCATGCATCACTGTGATCAAATGTGGACTTCCTTCAGAGGGTGAAACTACAAGTCTTAACCACAGTGTAACTTACAGTTTCCTAAAAACGTAAACCTGGCAGCTATAGAATACACTATGTGCATTTATAATAGCTATTTTATATATTGTAGTGTCAACATTTTTAAATTAAATGTTTTACATTCACATGTGAGGAGTCTTTTTGTCATTTGCTTTGAATGGGCTGGAAGAAGCTTCCTCTTGGCTCCTGAGGTCAGCAGTAGATCCCTGTAATCCTGGACTGCTGCTGTGGAAAGTTAGCCTCGTCTGTCAACAGAATGGAGAATTTTTGGCCGTTTTTGGAGGATTTTGGAGATTTTTCTGTAGCTGGAGTCATTGAATGGGCCAGTGCGAGTGGCTGTGGGGTCCAGGAGGACTGGCCTAGGCTGGCAGCAGCTTTTTTTGGGAGTCTCTTTTAAAGCTTATCAGAACACAACTCCAGCACTAAAAGGTTTTTTTTCTCCTCCTTTCTGGTGGATGCAGGGAAGTTTATTTTGGAGTTAAAGCAAGGCCACCTGCTTGTTCCCGAGCACTGTCGGTGCTGAGGGTGGGGGGTGTGAGAGTTCCTGTGGGATTGGGCTGCGTGACAGTCCCGGATAATCACAGTGGGATGGTGTGTGAGGGGAACAGCTAATTATACACCCTGGCAGCAGATGGGCTGCTGAGCAAAGGGGTGGGTGCTCTGAGAGAGTCTCATTTCCAGATTTTTGGATGAGAGTGGGATTATACTCAAACCTTCACTTGGGGCTCGGCTCAGGCAGGTTCCTCAGCAGCCAGACCTGGTTGGGCTGTGGTGGAGGAAAGTGCTCAGACTGCACCTGAACAGCAGGTAATTAACACTTAAATTGAATGGTGAGGCCCTCAGAGAACAGGCTGCACTAGTAGGGCTGGAGCTGTCATGGAACAGCAGCACAGGGAAGCAGTTGAGCCAGCTTGGCTTGATTTATTCCAATGAAATTCAAGTGGCACTTCAGAGGGAAGAGCAGCAGCAGATCCTACCAGTGTCTGCTGTAAGTCAGCGATGGCCATCTATGATTGTCCCACCAGGATGGTGTGACACTGGTGTGAAAACCATCCCAAATCCTGCTCTGAGAGCCGGGGCCTGCATCCCTCATGTGCTGCTGGGGGAGGCTGGGACACCAGTGCCTGGTCATGAGGTTCTCCCTCCTCAGACAAACCACTCCGTGTGCTTAAATCCTGCAGCTGGAGGAACAGACACTCCTTACCCTGCACTCCTACACAACTTCCTCCTCACCTCCCTGTCCTACACCACTCCAAGCAAACCCAGGCCCTTGTTAACAGCATTAACCTACTAAAAACCAGTTCTAAAATGATCCAAGGCAAGGTTTTAAACAAGTATTTTCCTAATTGCCAGACCTGTAGGGAAAAAGATTCCTTTGCATCTAAATTGTAAACTTAACTGCTTTGAATCAAAGTTAAGCACCAGCTCAAACTTTAGATGAGGCTTGGTGATCTCAGGTCAATCACCTGGCAGGTCTTTGGGGGCACAGTCTGGTGAGGGGACAGCTGGCAGGGATGTCCCCATGGACAATTTCCCCACGGGAAATCTGAGGATCCTCAGTAGCCCATGGAATTCAGGAAGCACCACGCAGCTTCCATTTAGGCCAAATGAAAAAAAATTCCAAGCGACGGGATTTATGAATGCTTGGTTTGGTGCTGAACTGCAGTAGCAGGCTGGGCTCCTGCAGGAAAAGTATGTTTAAAATAACATCCCTCGAAAACAATATTTCATCCAAGTTCTTGGTGGAAACAATGAACCATCTGGGTATGCCTAGAAGCTGTTTCTTAAAATAAAATCATTGTCTAGCGGTCCTTTAAAAAAAAAAATAAATAAAAAAAGACTATCAAAGTATCTCTTCATCTCAGTAACCTCAACAAAAAGAATTAAGTCAGATCCTGCACGTGGTGGACTGAAACCAGCAATTCCTGGTATTCCACGGTCTTGCTGTGACAGTATCAGAAGGCACAAACCTTCCCTTACCGATTCTCCCGACGATTTCCTCGCATTCTTGCTCAGAACTCGATGCAAACACCAGGCAGTCGAACGTGCTCCCGTCAGGGCTCTCCGGGGAAGAGCTAAAAATGGAAACACGTCCATCAGCCGGCAGAGCGCGCGGCCCCGAGCCCAGCCCTGCCCTGCAACCGCATCGGGGACCCCGCGGCTGCTCCACACCCCGCTTGTTTGGTTTCCAGGACCCACATCCCTCCGTACCCCCCCTCCCAGGGCCCACAGGCAGCACTCACGCCACACAGAAGGCGAATATCCTGCTGCTCCACGTGCAGCGTCCCACGCAGGAGATGGTGGGGTAGGGATGGCGGCACAGGAGCTGTGCAGGGCACAGCAGGGGGACGGGGCTGGAGGCAGTCCCTGCCAGCCCCATTCCTGGTTTAAACTGGCCCCAGGATCCCACACAGCCCCACTGGCATCCTTGGGACTCACACAGAGCTTGGGTGTTGCCTGCTTACCTTGGAAGACGCTTTCTCCTGCACCAGGACTTCTGCCTCCTTCACATCAAATAAAACCTCCTGAAGGGGGGGGTGAGGGGGAAGAGGGGGTGAGGGCACAGCCCTGAGCTCTGTTTTTGATAAGACACTTACCCACAGAGATTATCCAAACACAGAGGTGATGAAGCACAGTCAAGCTCAGCTGTTTCAAGATGTTTTCCCTGTGCTGCCTTTTTTTACCACCCAGTGCTCTCCTACTTCCATCTTTTCACAGATAACCCACCAAAGGCTCCAACAAAGTGACCCGAGCCCTAAAGCACCCCTGGAACCAGGCTTAGCCTCCCCACAGTTTTCCAGGTGCTTTCCCACAGGTGCTTGTATGTTTTTTCCTTAATGCCCTTTCCTATCCTGGCTGCAGAGATGCTTCTGACCTGCAAAAAACCCATAATGGTGGCAGGGTAGCAAATATTCAGCCAGGCCAAGCAAACCTGGAGCTGGCAGGAAAAAAAAATATCCATGGCAGAGACCCTATTTCCCTGCATTCTCTCACAGAGCCCTTCCCAGGATGTCCCCAGCCCCATCACTCACCTGCACTGCCAAGTGCCCCTCCAGCACTGCAGGGATGGCCTGCTCCAGCACCTCTTTGCCACCATACTGGAATAGAAGGGGAAGGAGGGAATAACCCATGGGCTCATGAAAAAAAAACCCAGAAGAGACAATTCACCCCATGGCATCCTTCTGTGCCCCACAGCCTCACCGTCCCAATGCTGGTCTGGCCCAGATACTGCAGGTTGTAGAGCAGCCTGGGGAGAAAAGGGCTCAGGTGAGGAACACCACACATCCCTCCTGCTGTTCTTTGCAGGGGAAGATGCTCCCAGCCCCCCACCACCCCAAGGCCACAGGGGCAGCTTTGGCCCCAGAGCCTTGAGCGGAGATCAGGGATAGTGTGGGCACAGGGATACCCCGCTGGCAGGACCCCCAGCCCAGCCTGGGGGCTCCCCATGGCACCAGACCCACCTGCCCCCTCGCAGCTGCCGTGGCTCCCCCTCGCCCCTGTGCCGGGGGCTGTGCTGGAGCTGGAAGTGGGGCTCCTTCTCCTTCAGGACCTTCAGGTAGGGCAGCAGTGGCTCATAGACCTGCCCGTCGTGCCACCGCCACCGGAGCAGGCGGAAGATGAGTGGCTGTCCCTTCAGCTTCTGCAGGATGTCCCCAGCCTGGAGGGAGAGAGGGGAAGCAAAGGGTAGGATGGGGGGCAGGGGAGGGGGAGCCACCCTGGCCCTCCCTGCCCACCCACCTGCCTGCTGTGGGCGTATCTCAGCGAGCAGCCGTTGATCTCATCCAGGATGTCGCCGGCCAGCACCACCTCATCCACCTCTGCCTGGCTCTCAGGGAGCACCTTGGTGACAAAGACTCGGCCCTCCACATACCTGGGGGTGTGGCCGAGCCCCGGCTCAGCCCCAGGGACCCTGCCTGGCTCCCCCAGCCCTTTTGTACCATCCATGACATTTCACCCACGCAAAGAAGCAGGTAAAAGCCACCTCATGGACAGCAGGTACCGGTGAGACCCTCACAGGATGTTTATCTCCCTTTTTTGGGGGAGGGGGTTGAGTGCTGTGGTGACCAGATCCCTCTGGAGAGTAGGATCAAAGGCTCACCTGAGCACCATCCCCAGCGCTCGGCATGGGACTGTCTCGTAAGTGCTGCACACCTGGAAGAGAGGGGCCAGTGACAGTGGCTTTGGCAATGGCCATGGGACATCCAAGGAGCATGACCAGGACAAGAGGGAGAATTGGGACCCCATGCCCTGGATCATTTCTGGCACTGATGCCAAACCAGGGTTTTGGGAGCCCGGGAAGAGGCTGGCCCACGGTGCCCCAGGCTGAGCTGGCACCATCAGTGGCTGCTTGTCCCTGCCCTCTCTCAGCACTCGGCTGTGCCCAGACCCTGAAGGGACAAAGCTGCTCCACGGATGGGAGGGCAAAGTGGCAGGTGAATCCTTAGCCAAGAGCCCTCCTCCCTCACCCCACATGTCCCCACGCAGCCAGGGGAGCGTGGCCACCCCTCCCCAAAGCCGCTGCTGTTTGCAGCAGCACTTACTGTCACATCGCATTAGCCAGGGACCCGAGACACGGCCAGCTTGGCCAGGGGCACTTGCTGTCAGAAACATCCAAAACCCAGCAGGATCCCCAGCTCTGCAGCAGCACCACAGCTCAAAGCACACTGTGAGCACCCCCAAAGCTGCCCTGAGCTTTCTGGGGATTCTTTTGGGTTAAAAGGGCAGTGGAGGGATGCTCTTCATCTTTAAAAGACATAAAGGCATCCCCGCTGTTCTCGGTAACACACTGATGTTTCACTGAGCAAACCAAGAGCGAAACCAACTGATGTGTAATCTGTGTCAGCCCAGGGAAATGGGGATTTTTTTGGGCAAGAAATCAGGGAAAGGAGCATGGGAAAACTTCACTTACGGCAGCAATTTATGCCTGGGTACTACTCTTGCTTGGTTTTACTCCCAGGAATGCTGGGATGTGCTCCTGGTGACAGCCCAGGCACCTGGCAGGATCCCACCTCGGTGGCAGAGGTGGCTCTGCTCGTGCTGGTGAACCTGAGCCAATGCACCCCAGGTGCGTGGCAGTCCCTCCCCACCAAATCACTCCTTATCTCCCTCATTTGATGTCTCAGCGAGGGCCAGGTGGCGGGAGGACGGCTCCGGGGAGCGATGAGTCCTTACCGGCAGCAGCCAGCTCTCGTCCAAGAAGCTGCAATTCTGTAAACAAAGGAGTGCCAGTGCCATCAGTCCCGGCCGGGAAGGGGCTGGGGCCCTGCATTGGGAGCCACCACCCCCCTGATTCATCACCACACCTGCAGATCCAGGGAGAAATCCATCTCTGTCAGCACCAGCAGCAGCGAGAGGAAAGGCTCTGCGGAGGGATGGGGACAGAGAAGCAGTGTCACTGCAGGGTTTCTGGCAGCTAGAGCCTCACAGAGACATGGCAGAGGACAGAATAAAGCCGTTTTCCATGTAACTAATGAGCCCTGGGATTGAGGCCTTGAGAGTATTCCAGCACCACAGCACCCAGGCTGCTGCTGGAGGCTCATCCCAGGCTCCCACTGCCGGCACAGGTGTGGCTTGGCACCTGCTTTGCCCTAATTCAGACCAAGGCTTGCAGCAAACACTGCTGACGAGTGACTCGCTCTCCATTTCTCACCCTAGAAGCAAAGCAAAGCTGCCCAGGCTCTCCTGCACAAGCCTTGCAATCACTCTGCTGGGTCTACAATCTGCTCATGCACCAGCAGCGCGGGCGATTTATAAACCATTGATGTACAGGTTTAACATGGGGTTATTTATCATAATCAAAAGATTAAAGGCTTCCACCCTGGCCTGGCCCCCTCAAGTAGCATGGCTGCAGATGGATGGAGTGCCGCAGCCTGTCAAGGCAATACAGCCATTTAAAACCCCTGTGCGACCCCTCAGCCCAAGCCCAGCCGTAATGGGCTCCCCTCGAGCCAGACCACTAGGTCTGCTTAAACATATGAAGGAATAACACTGGAAGACCCTTCAGGAGCCGTTTCCCTATCCCATGACACTAAAGCCAACTCGAGACAGATTCAAACCCTGTTTAAATATTTACACCTCTTTTTCCATCGCTGCAGCAGCATATTTAGATTCCAGCATTAAATTTGGACTAGAAAAATCACAGTGGACTATTCCCCCTCCCCTGCAGCAGCGCACTGCCATAACACAGGTTACATCCCACCTCGGATGCACCACCATCTTACCCCGGAGACCTTCACTGCCGAGGATGGAGCTCTCCGGATCATAAAACTGAAACACAGTGAAACGCCACCGTTACTCTGCCATTTCACTGCCCGTGTGGGCCCGTTTCACTGCACCACGTGCTGCACCTCCAGGAGTCCGGGGGTCTGTGCCAGCTCCCTCACGGCCACCGCCAGCACCTTCCCTTGCAGGGCCAAGCGCAGGAAGTACCGCCCACGGCCCTGGGCCGTCCGTGTCCGCTCACAGCCCCCGGCTTTCTGGATGCTCATGGAGAGAGGGGTCGGCCTGTTCGGGGAGAGGGGAAGCACCTTTGGCAGCGCCTGGGAGCATCCTCCCTGCACCGGGGCTCTTTGGGATGAGTATGTCACAATGAGTATGTCACCCCCACAGCTCAGGTTTCCATCCCAGCCCTGCCCGGGGACGCTCACCTGCCGCTGGTCCCCGCGGGAAGCTGCTCCAGCCAGTGCCAGTAATCCCGTCTCCGGAAGCCCCAAGCCGGTTCTGCGGGAGAAAGGGAACGCGAGGCCCCTCGCCGCGGGCCCCGGGGAGCTGCCACCCCCCTCCCGGGCACGAAGGGTCACTCACGTCGGAGCCCCTTGCGCAGGATGCTCTCCAGCCGCTGGCAGAGGGACACGAGGTGCGGCGAGGTGTCCGTGCAGGGCCCCCCGACCTCCCGCAGCTGCAGCACCGCACCTTCAGTGAGGGAAAAGGCAACACCCGTGGGTGCCCCAGCCGGGGGAAGGGCAGGGGGGCACCCACGGGAGCAGCTCTGCACAGTCCCGGGGGGGGAATGGTGGTAGCGGGGTGCCCAACACCCCGGCAGGGCTCGACCCTCCCCGGCTCCGGCTGCCACAACGGGCAGGAACTCGGGTAAACTTCCTCAAAGTCCCTGGTCCAGGGAGCCCCGGCCTGGGGAGCTCCAGCCCGGCCCCGCCGTCTGTCCGGTCAGACCGGTACCGGTGCGCGGCCAAGGGCCGGTCCCTGGACAGCGCTGCTGGAAGAGGCAGGAAAAGCCGCCAGGGGCCCACGCTCACCTTTAAGGGCGCTCAGCAGCGGCTCCTTCCCGGCCATGGGCTCGTCCCCCCGGGCCGAGCGGTCCCGCGGCGGCGGCTGGACGGGAACCGGTAACGGGCCCCGCCCCGGGAGTGTCCCGGGGGGGGGGGAACCTCACACACAGGTGTGTGTACCTGAGCATATAGCAAAAGCACGGACGTTGACGTATACAGGGATAACACAGACATCTATCGATACATATATATGTTACATACGTTGTATCGGCAGAAGCCGCATATGTAAGAGAGGCACCCGTGCAAACAGACACATATTTATCTGTACATATATTAGGGCAGGCTCTGCGATACGGATTTGGATACATGCGTTAAAAAGCCCCGGCGCTGGCCCCGCCGTAGGTACACACGGGGTGTGTGCGGGCCAGCTCTCGCCTTGCCCATAGGGCTGCCCACGCACGACCAGCCTTTCCCAGAACCCTGGGAAGGGTGCGGGGCGCTCAGGGGCGGTGCGGGACCCGGGGAAGGTGCAAGGCTCGGGGGGGGGAGCGGATCCCGGACGCGGTGTGGGACCCGGGGCCGGTGCGGATTCCGGGTCGGTGCGGGATCCCGGAGGCGGTGCGGGATCCGGGGGCGGTGTGGATCCCGGAGGCGGTGCGGAACCCGGGGGCGGTGCGAACCCGGGGGAGGTGCGGGACGGTCGTGGGCGGTGCGGTGCGGCCATGGCAGAGCCGGTGGGTCCCGGTCCGTCCCCGCTGCTGGCGGCTGCCCGCCGGGCGCACGAAGCGGCTTTCGGGGGGCCGGCGGTTCTGGCGGCGTGGGCCCCCGGCCGGGTCAACCTCATCGGCGAGCACACCGACTATAACGGCGGCTTCGTGCTGCCCATGGTAAGAGCCCGGGATCCCCGGCCCCGGCATCCCGCCGTGTCACCCTTCCGGGTCCCCTCTGAAAGCCCACGGGGGGTACCTCGCCCCAGGGTGTCCCCTACCTCGGGGATGTGTCCCTCAGTCGAGGACCCTGCGGGATCCCCCCGCCGAGTCCGGAGCTCGCAGCAGGATCCGGAGCACCAGGGGCTCCGCAGAGCAGCTCCTCACTCACTACAGGGGGAATGTGATTTCCCCCTTCCCAACCACCTCTTTTCTGCAAGCCCGTCAAACGATTTCCTGTTCGCGGAGAGCGATGTTTTGGTGGTGGAGGTGGTTCGGAGCAGCAGGAGCTTCCTGCTCTTTCTGAGCTCCTTCGAGCTCCCTTTGGCTCAGTCCTAAATCAAACACACAGCTAATTATTGTGAGGCCGAAGAGCGTGGGAGCAGGTCAGCTGAATTCCCTGGCAGGCAAGAAAACTTCCTGAAGCCTCTCCCATGCTTGTAGTGGTTACCACTCCCCCGGAGCCCGACAGCCAGCACCCTGGCACTGAGCTGGGGGGGGTCTGTCACAACATTCAGCAGGAAGACTGTTCCTGTGTGGCAATAAATAGCCAGTAAGTTTAATTCTGTGTCGAGCCAGACCATACACTGGGGGCTCTGTGGAGACAGAGTTAAGGGGAACATGTGTTGGGTGCTCCAGCTGTGAGTCGAAGCAGCCACCACTGTCCTCTTCCACCCATGGGGATACTCCAAGGGATGTCAAGGGGTCTGAGCCCACCTTCCCCACCCCCAGGCTCTGCAGCTGGGGACGGTGCTGGTGGGATCCCCCACGCAGGACGGGACCATCTCCATCCTCACCACCTCGGCGGAGGCGGACGAGCCCCACAGGGTGCAGTTCCCAGCTCCCCACCACGGCAGCTCCCTGAGCCCGGGGCGGCCTCGCTGGGCCAACTACATCAAGGGTGTCATCCAGCACTACCGGGGTAAGACCCAGGCTGAGGGGTGGGGCAGAGACCCCCTCGCAGGGGCTGGTGTTCAGCACCCGGTTTTGGGTGCGCTCCAGGGGCTCTTCCAGCACTGTTGCAAACCTGCAGCTCTGCCGGGACCAGGCTCCAGCAGAGCTGCTCTCAGCTCCAAAGCCTCCTGTGTTTGGGAGCAGGTGCCTGGGTCACGCTCTGCCGTGGGTCACCCAGTGTTTTAAAGTGGGATGTTGGACAGGGGCTCCTTGCTCTTGTTCCCCGGGAGCTGTGGGGCACCCTCAGCCCTGCAGGGGCTCACAGCCCCCCTCCTCCCTTCTCTTCCCACAGGTGGTGCCGTGCCGGGGTTCAGTGCCGTGGTCGCCAGTGACATCCCCCTGGGCGGGGGCCTCTCCAGCTCAGCTGCTCTGGAGGTGGCTACTTACACCTTCCTCCAGCAGCTCTGCCCTGGTAAGGCAGCAGCCAGTCCTGACCCCCGGTGTCTCTGTTTCCAGGTGGGAGCTGGGATGAGGGGTTGCCCTTAGCAAGATCCCACAGCCCTTGGGGAAACGCTGCTCTGGAGTGGGTCACAACTCCCCACTGCAGCCAGAGTAGGCACTGCTGTGACTATGTGTTTCCTCTGGCTCATCCAGCCTGAGCTGCCCAGACCTCTAAAATCCATGGACCACCCCTTGGACAGGCCAGGGGGATGAGAGGATGTTCCCCTTGGAGCATCTCCCCACCCTGATGTCCCCAAAAATTGAGAGATCTGAGATACCAGTGTTAAATTATCACATCCAGCTGGATCTGGAGACCCACACTGGCATGGATGGCATACAGTGGTGCAGGAGCAAGCACCTGCAGCTGCAAAACCCCATTCTATGGGAAAACAACCCTTTACCTCCGTATTGCCCCCCCCACTCCAAGACGAGGGGCCAGGGTCCTGGAGCTGCTAACCTGTGTGTCTCCACTCTGGCACAGATGATGGTGATTTGGTATCCAAGGCACTGGCGTGCCAGAAGGCAGAGCACACGTTTGCTGAGATGCCCTGTGGGATCATGGACCAGTTCATATCCGTGATGGGCAAGGAAGGCCACGCTCTGCTCATCGACTGCAGGTCAGGGCTGAGTGCTGAGCTCACGGTGCTGTGCCCACCTCCTCGGGCAGCTGGGGATGACCTGGTCCTGTGGCCATGACATAAGTGCAGGAGTGCAGGGAAGGGTTAACCCCCAAACCTAGCCCAAAATCTCATCGTGGGGATGGGTCTGCCTGCCTTTTAATTCCTCCTTGGCTTGATTCCTCCTCCTGCAGCCTTTCCCCTACTTGCCTGTCCCTTCGCCACTTTCATTAGGGACTGTTATGAAACTAATAATTGGGAAGGGAGAGAAATACTCGAGCGAAATCCTAAACCACCTGGACTTTGCCTCTGTGGTTCAGGAGCTGCCTGCCACGTGGCCTCACACAGGTGTCCGAGGGCTGGAGCAGGCAGGGGGACGGGCACATGGCCCACGCTGAGCTCTCACTGCAGGTCCCTGGAGACTGTCCCTGTCCCACTGACCGATGCCAGGCTGGCCGTGCTCATCACCAACTCCAACGTGCGGCACACGCTGACGGGCAGCGAGTACACCACGCGCCGGCGGCACTGCGAGGAGGCAGCAGCGGCACTCGGCAAGGCCAGCCTGAGGGATGCCACCATGGCCGAGCTGGAAGGTGGGGAAAGTCCTTCCCTTGGCTCTGGCAGCCTCTTGGGGCATCAGGAGCTCGATGCCCTGTGGCACCAGCTGAGACCGTGGGGTAGCACCAGGGACAGGTGGCTGGGTGCACGCACCAGGATGGGAGTGTGCCACACCTAGAGGAGCTCTGGCACAGGATGGCTGCAGGATGTAGCCATGCTTGCTTCCAGCAGCATCCCTGGGTGGCTTTGCTGCAGGGACACCCGTGTCTCCACAGCGGCCAGGAGCCGGCTGGGCGAGGAGGTGTATCGGCGCGCCAGGCACGTCATCGGCGAGATAGCACGGACAGCCCAGGCAGCACAGGCACTGCAGGACAGGGACTACAGGATGTTCGGGAGGCTGATGGTGGAGAGTCACAACTCCCTCAGGTGAGGATGCACCAAGGATGCTCACAGCCTTCCTCACATATACATGCACTTACAGGCAGAGCTGCACTGGTGTCTGCAGCATCCGACGTCGCTGCAGTTTGCTACGGCAGTGGCTGCACCAGGACACAGGTTTCAGCTGTTCATGGTGCAGTGGTTATGGGCAGGGTGCAGGACAGGGCTGACCATGGGTCTCCCCTCTCCAGGGATGATTATGAAGTGAGCTGCCCCGAGCTGGACGAGCTGGTAGCAGCAGCTCTGGAAGTCGATGGGGTTTATGGCAGCAGGATGACCGGGGGAGGCTTTGGAGGCTGCACCGTGACACTGCTGGAAGCTGGGGCTGCAGAGAGAGCCCAGCAACACATCCAGGTATGCAGCAGAAAAGTGCCAGGAGATTGACTTAAAGATCCCAAGGGAACACTCAGGGGCACAGCTTGGAAAGACCTGGTGGTTGAGATGGTGCTCCTGAGGCACTTAGGATTGGTGAAGCCCATCCAGGGCCATGAAAGGCCCAAGTGTGTTGGTGCCACTAAGCTCTTGCAGGCAGCTCAGCACCGTACTGATCACAGAACCCTGCCCAAGGGTGTCACTGCATTGAGGAAGTGAGAGAAAAGGTGCTGGATGAGCTTCAGGAAGGCCAAATTTATCTAGGGAAAAGTGATCTGAGCTAAGCTTGGGCAATGCTGAGCTTAACACAGGCAGCTACAGCCCAAGAACGATCTCAGTGCCATCACCAAGGTTCTCTAAATCAGCACTTCAGAGTGTACTGGTAGCTGAAAACACCAGCAAAATGGGGGTGTCAGTATGTGGGGACTGTGAAGGAGGCAGAGCTTCATTTTGCTGCTCCGTGAGATCATGGTGTGCCCTGTAAATAATTGGGGGGATAAAGAAGGGGCTGAGGAAGGTCTGCAATGAGGAGAGACCAAAAGGTCTGTGCCTCTGCCAAAGCTGGGAGCGAGGGAACGTGACCAGGAGTTACAAACCAGTGAAGGGGGTAGATGGAGTGAGTGTGGAACTGACCCTCAAATCCTCCAAAATAAGAACCAGGCACCACTGGATGAGTTAGGAGCAGATCAGAGCTGAGGAAGCACTGCACAGGGCTGGGGTGGGGGAGTTTGTAGAGACCATGAAGCATCATCAGGGTCAAAAAGGTTGGAAAAAATCATGGACAACAGTCCATAAGGTGCTGCTGAAGGATCAGCTGAGGAGTGTGTTGGTATCCTCCCTGCCCCAGGCTTTGGATGGACCATGGGACCCAAGGCAGTGGCTGGAACAAGATGCTGTCCCCAAAGAGCATCTGACATGGCTGCTGTTGGAGTGGTGGTGACAGGGTCAGATGGGTGCTGGGCTGACCAGCAGGGCCTTTCTCCCTGTCTCTGGAATCCTCCAGCCCAGCCCCAGAGCACCAGCACTGACTGCTCCTCTTGTCTCCTAGGAGAAATACAGCGGCACAGCCACCTTCTACCTCACCAAGCCCTCTGGAGGGGCAAAGGGACTGCCCCTGTAGAGAAGCAGCCATCTCACCTGAGATCCCTGGTCTGGAACTGCCTCTCTCTCAGAGGCAGCTGCTTTCTCTGCTTCCCAAGGGGGTCAGTTTGTCCGTCTACATCGTTTGCTCAATAAAGGCATTTGCACAGTTCTGCACCCACTTGATCCAAAGTCATTTGGGACCATTCCTCAGAGGAGACTGGTTTCACTCCAGTTTGAACTGGAGTGATGAGCCATTACCAGGGCTGTGGGGTCCAGTAGTGCCTCTGGAGCTGCAGTTGCAGGAGGGGATGGCAGTGGAGGAGCAGCAGGCACTGCACTTGGCAGAAGTTCCTGTTTGGGAATCTGCCTCTGGCACATGTCCTTCGTCTGCTGCAGATGGAGGCTGTTTGGGGGGGGGATTTTTTTAATTTTAGATTTTTTTTTAAAGAAAAAGGAAGAGGCAGACTGTAGAGAAAACATTTATTAAGTGCAACTGGAAGCCATCTGATCAAAGACCTGCTCTGGATCTGCCTCGGAAAGGCTGAAACAGCACCAGCCCTAATGACCAGATGGAATTTAAAACGACAGCCATGGGTTAGTGCACAAGCCATGGTGTATGTGGGGAGGGCATGATTCCCTGGAGAGCAGTTGATGGCCAGGCTCTGCTCTTGGATAAGGGGATAATCTTTGGTTAAAATGCTTGGAGG